TTACCCGATTGTGTTTAGAAGATGACAAAGATTTTCTTGATGAAATTATTAAAGAAATATGTAATCTTTATAATGAAGAAAGATCAAAAGGCAAAAGTTCTAGTTTAATTTTTGAAACATTAGAACAATTTCTAGCAACAAAGAAGCAAAATTCAGATAATGTTATTAATTACTGCTTAGATAATCAGTTCGATCCTATGGTTTATAACATTCTTGCAAGTTGCCATCGTTATGGTAAATGGGTTGAAAAGGATGAACATAAAGCATTCAGTTATTACAAAAAATCTGCTGATATGGATAATTCGGATGGAATATTTTTCATTGGAGTATGTTACAGTGAAGGAATTGGAGTCGAAAAAGATAAAAATAAGGCATTCATTTATCATCAAAAGTCAGCAGAGATGGAACACGCTGGTGGAACATATAAAGTTGGATATTGTTATAGAAATGGAATTGGAGTTGAAAAGAATGAACACAAAGCATTCATTTATTATCAAAAATCAGCCGAGATGGGGCACGCTTCTGGAACAAATAACGTTGGATATTGTTATGATAAAGGGATAGGAATTAAAAAAGATGAAAATAAGGCATTTATTTATTATCAAAAGTCTGCAGAGATGGGGCACGTTAGCGGAATATATAATGTTGGAATCTGTTATGATGAAGGAATTGGAGTTGAAAAGGATGAACATAAGGCATTTATTTATTATCAAAAATCAGCAGAGATGGGGCATGTTGGTGGAATATATAATGTTGGAATCTGTTATGATGAAGGAACTGGAGTTGAGAAGGATGAACATAAGGCATTCATTTATTATCAAAAATCAGCAGAGATGGGGGACGCTGATGGTACATATATGGTTGGCTATTGTTATGAAAATGGGAATGGAGTTGAAGAGGATAAATGTAAAGCAGGCGAATATTATTATAAGGCTGCAGAATATTATAAAGGAATTGGAGTTAAAAAAGAAGAAATGATCTTCAATTCTTATCAAAAGTCAGCGGAAATGGGTCATGTTGAAGGAACATTAAATGTTGCATATTGTTATGAAAAAGGAATCGGAGTTAGCAAGGACGAGCGTGAAGCAGCTGAATATTATTGTATATATGCAGAATATTATAAAGAAGGAGTCAATGTTAAAAAGGACGAATACAAGGCCTTCTTATATTACCAAAAATCTGCAGAGATGGGTAATGTTACACCCGGAACTACCTCTTATAAGTCCGGTACAACGGTTTACAATAGCGACGGATATGTTAGATGATTGATAGTCAAATGCCGATTTACGCTTAAGTAAATATAGGGTTAATTGCAGTTATGCTTTTAAGAGGATTATGTGATTTGCTATTACGAAAGAGGCTAACGGCTAAATGTATATGGAGATACAAGTAGTCGTATTAACAAGTTTATAGTTTGTGATTTATTCGATAAGATACTCGAGTTATACGTGTATGAAGACACTATAACCGATCTACAATTTATTCGAGCGATCTGTGTATGAAGACACGATTACTCTTCTGGGAAGTGTTGGTTTTATTTAATAAAGTAATTGAGTTGTTCGTGTATGAAGACACGATTACTCCTTTATTATTATTGAGTTGTTGCGAACTGCCTTTCTACAAGAGCGATACATGAGGCTTTTTATACATTTTGATCGTTATAGTCTTTTGCTAATGTTTCTATTATTATATCCTTTAGCACTTTTCAGTACTTCTTAGTACGATTCAGTACTGCTAATACAACAAGTGCTTCAAATCTGGTGGTATTTCCTGTGCCATTTAGTGCTAGTTAGTACTATTCAGTACTTCTTAGCATTCTTGGCATTAGTGTCACGTTTCTGCCTAATATCACATGATGCTTAATTGCAGGGGTTAACAGTAAATAATATTGCATGTAACTTGTTTGAGAGCTATCGTTATTGTCTAAATCTATCGTTATGTCTCAAACAGTTATATTGAGAGTCTATAATAGAATGGACTATTTAGTTAATCGAATTGGCGAATTTGTTAAAAAAAATCTTTTTTTATAACGGATTACAGAGCAAAAAGAACATTTTGATAGGTCTTATACAAATTATACGATTTTACTGGCTAATTATAATCACGCGGAAATTGAAACGATTGTCGTATCCAGTGCACTATGTAGATCAAGGCTAAAGTATTGGACTAATGTACGAAGAAGATTTTTTGTTATAACCAAAAGGGCGATTTACTAGTCTAAATTTGCGTTTGTTTTGTGTTACACATGACCCTGATTTTAATTGGCTAATTGTAGAGTGTCCAGAATTATGTTCCGGCAATTACCAAATTATGTGTGTGATAAATTGTAAATTATGCGAATTATGTGAACCTAGGGATTAGGCTTGAAAAAAATTTCCGTTGACCAATCAAATTTCAAGATCCGGCATAAAAACCATCTTTTACATATTATAGAAAATTTTTTTATAAAATAACATTTTCGAACCCTTACCAAATGGCGAGATCCTGTCCTTAACCTAAATGCTCGAAATTTACTAGAAATATTTTATTACAAGTGCGAATGTAGTTGGCATATGAGTGCTGCCAAGAGAAAATGACCATCCGTACTTTCAATTATATTTTGTATCAGACATGATCCTTAATAAATTAGATAAATTATGTCAGGTACAAAATATAATTGAAAGTCCGAAGGGTCATTTTCCCTTGGCGGCACTCATATATAAAAAGTTAGAACGGTATAATCAATAACTTTGCTAAATTCGGAACTGCTGATTTTTGAAAGTGCACCAGGTAAATAATTTGGCCTGCATTATTCATATTATTCTACCCGGAATTGGCCAGCGTTAGAGTATAATGTAGGCCGACTTGATAATTGTGTAACTTTGTCTGTGTAACGCCAATTGACCAATAGAAATTTTTTCAAACGTAAGAATTTAAATTATGCAAAATCGCATATTTTATGTGCCACTAGGTGAATTATGCGAATATTATGTCGAATCATAATCCTGGACACTCTAGCTAATTGATGTTGGAAAATCACATGTCCGGAAAATCTTTGTTACTCATAGGGAGACATTCATATGATTGGTAGATCTATCCGCAAAATTTTTTTTAAATTTTTTTAAGATTTATCATTTTATAATTAATAAATACACGTAAAAAAAGAATTTGTCACATATTTAAAAGTAGTTGATATGCATAAAACGTAGTAAGTTGATATTTGTTACTAATAAACCCAAACTCAAATTCATCAAAAAATTCAATATGCGAATAATTATTAGCGAAACTACATTTATTATCGTTATATTTTGAAAAGTAATTAGAGTAATTCAATCTTTAATTATCAAGATCTTTATTAAAGATGCGACACGACCTTTAGCCATATATTAATGAAACGATAATACTCATATATTCATACATACTATCGACCTACTACTTAACCCAAAGTTACTAACGTTTTAACCCTATTGTAATCAGATTACGTATGTAAAATATGAGCATTAGTACAAGATTATTGTTATTATAATAGCATGTAAAATGGTATACACAAAATTCTTTTACAGTTGTTCTCATAAATTTTGAAACATCTGGTAAAAAATTGACCGAATGATTATTTGGCCGATTCGATAAGTTATTGATTTCGGCATGATCAATGTAACGTTCATTATTTACGTAGATAGCCTAACAGCTAAAGCCAGTTACGTACGTACGTATATACGTTTTAAATTGATTACCAATCGATTTGTAAATTAAAACTCATGTGAAACATATTATTTACGGTGCAGCAGTGACAATTTTAATTGATAATAACAAGATAACCAATACCGATATAATACTGGTTAAATATGATATTTTCGAAGCACATTCGCTGGAAAATAGTCAAAAAAAATTTAGAAGAATTATCAGTTCGACAATTGCTAAACACTTAGATGTTAGCAGATCTTTAATTTCAAAGGTATGGATGTGTTGAAAAACTTCCGCCACTTGTAAGAAAACCACGTCCACTAAACCTGAATGATATAAAATATCTTAAGGCTTTAATGGAAGAAAGTCTAACTGGTACTTTATGAATTACAATCAAAGATGGAACTTTGGTTAGAACATAAAAATAGAAGTCGTTTAAAGCCTTGTAGTATTTTATATTTTCACGCGAGTTTTAATTTACAAATAGATTAGCATTAGTAATCAGTTTAAAATGTACGTACATATGTACGTACTTATCTATGTAAATAACAAATGTTACACTAATCATGCCGAAATCAATAACTTATCGAATCGGTCAAATAATCATTTTATTACACAAATTATCAGAATTTTACTATGCCTAATACTAACACTAATAAAAACAAATAAATGAAATAAAATATATACTTTTAATTACAATTAATTTATGCCATTTTTTAGCATTTTATAATTTGTATGAATTTATATATTATTATTATTAACGCTTTAAGATGACAGAGACTGTGGCCTCAAATAACTTTTAAATAAATTTCCACCAAGAATTTAGACACATGCATGAATGAATAGTATCCGTTCCAAGACAACTTCTTTTAATATCAATTAAGTCAGCTCCATCCGTTCAACTGGAACACTAGTTGCACTAATTGCATGATAATCTCTGGCTATCATAGCCAAGTACAGATATTCTGATTCGTGATCCTTCTACCAAATAAGAATATTTTGTTTTTTTTTGCACATGAAGCACTCAAATATAATTCAACTTGGGTCCGTATTGATTCACCGACAATCACTTCACTGACAGCTCATTTAGACGACATCACGGCAGGTAAAATTTAGTAAAAATATATACTTGCAACTAATGAAATGCTTAACCCTAACCCTATGTGATGTCGGCTAAATAATCGTTCGGTGAAATGATTGTTGGTGAATTGAAGGGATCCCATTCAACTTCATTTTGCTATTCAACTTTACATTTTTTTCTATTACTGTAAATATAATCCAAGAGAGAATCATTATCATCAATAATATCATAATTGATATCTTTGTGAGAACATGATTCATAATTGTCTCTATAAATATTAAAAACAGTCTCTTTAATATTTTTAATTAAATCTTGATCCCATTTATATTCTTTATAATAATCTAGTTTTAATCATAGATCAAGCACAATTGCAATGTTATAAATAGGTGTATTTTTAGTTTTTGCATAATATGATTTTAATTTATTTAGACTCGCATCTATTGCAGCAGTAATCTCATAAGAGTTGTTGGGATTATTATAATATAATTTGAGTTCATCAATTAAATAATTGTAAATTGGTATAGTAGAAGTGAGCATTGGATACTTAGCAGATGAAATCATATTGGTTGTTTGTATAAACATTTTTAAAATAGTTATAATTTCTTTAATTTTAATCTATTTATTATTAATAAACTTGCAGTTGTATCTAATGCTTCACGCATTTCTAGTGCCTGTGTTAACATATCATGAGTAAAATTCTACTTAGTCACAACATCTAAAATAAAATTATGATTTGGAAGATTAGCAACCTTGACTTGACATATAAATTTTTTTCGATGTTGTGGTGATTATCTTATTTTAACAATTAGCTTTCTAAGTTTTAAAATTATTTCTTCAGTCACTAAGGCACATCTATATTATCTAATATAATATTTTCATATTGTGCTTGATCTATCTTAAGTTGCTTAAGTATTTTTTGAACAGTTAAATTTAAAATTTAAAATATAAGCAAAGTATCGACAATGTGATTCCTTAGCATTAAAATTAATATTTTTATTTTATATTCATATTCTAAATATTTTATAAAAGTATTATTATTTGTGATATTGTTACTTGTAATTGCAAAACCTTTGTTAAAATTTCAAATTTATGATAGTTTTCTGCAAATATATCACATAGATTTTCTCTGAAGTGAGGGTTACAAAAATTAATAAAATCTAATAAAATATTTTTAAGTTTCCAGTTTTCTGAAATCTAGTATACTGTAATACTAAAAAATAAATCAAAATTCATATATCAACTATAAATAAGAGTTTGTCTAGTATATTTTGAAGTAAATCTTTTATACTTTTATTCTTTTTTAGATTACTATCTGAATGGTAATGTTCAAGATAATATCAAAGATTTGTAATATTAGAATTACTAATTTTACAAAGCCAAGCTTTTCTTTTTTTATTATTAGAGCAAATAAGATATAATATTTGATAATGTGTTTATGCACTTGAATATTCTGGTGAAAGATCTTTTTCTGCAAATAAATTATCAACAAAAAGCTTACTTTGCAAGGTTTTTAGTTTTTTGGAGAAAGTTGGCTAGATCTTAGTTTTAGTATTAGATTTAACAAAATCAAGCTCAAATTTATTATCTTTGATTAATGATATTATTGTCAATAATAAAAAAAATTATTTTTGATAAAAATTATTAAATAAGATTTGATCCAAATCATGTGATATATTTTAAACTGGTTTTAAAATTTGAGTTATCTAAGTTTTTTTGCTTGTTTTAAAGCACTACTTATATATAACTTTTCAATCTTTTTTTGTTAACTGTTTCTAGTATTTAAAATTAGTATATAGTTAATATAACTAGTACTAGCAATAAATTGTAAAATATTCATTTATAAGTAAAGTTTTTGAATTACTAATTATTTTTGATTATTTTTGTATAATGAATATAAATGTTTTTTCGAAGCTAAAAATAATTTTTATAATAATTTTTTGTTAATGAAATATTACATTTCTAAAAGTATTTTAAGCTATATAAATATATTACTTAGGCAATTGATTTATATTAACCAATTATATAAGAGTTTTTCTAGATATCTCTGGTCAGAAATATATAACTTATATATCTCTGGCCTACAGACCAATCAAAAAATATAAATATCATGTGATAAAGCTTTGATTAATAACCTAATATTGGGCAATACCTCTGGCCTAAAAATCGAATCATCTCTAACAAATCATATATACGTACGTACAGTGCAAGAAATCTAAAAACCTCAATCATATTATACAGAACCAAAAACGATCAATGTATTGGAGATAAGCTAAATTCAATAGTGGCTTATTTTAAGTTTCTTTATTAAATACATATTATTCTTAGCGTATTATTTCTATATACATTATTTTAATATGAAGATTGAGGTTTTTAAATTTTCTACACCAAATGATTATATTTGGTGTTACATGCATGCTTGTATTACATATCAAAACAAAGAAAACAAGAATTTTAGAATTTTCTTTGTATTAATGCTCTCAAACAATCTAACTGTTTCAGTGATTTAAAACTAGTACCTGCTAGTAAAAAAAATCAGAAGAAAATACATTTGTCTCTCTTTAAATCTAATCTTGATAAATGAACACTTAATAAGTTCAACAAACTTAAACATTACATTTCACTATAATGTGTAGGTCAAAAAAAAAAAAAACTGAAAAAAAAAACAAAAAACAACCTAATCACAAACTTTTGAACCTATCTATATACTTCACAAGAATCATAAGTTTGGTAAAGTGTGATTGTATAGAAATTATAAACCAATATTTATACAAACGAAGAAACCAAACCTTTTAAATTAAGACAACTTAATTTAAGCTATAAAAATTTTAATCTAAAGTCCTTTGGACTTAAAAAAAATTGTGTCTAGTATGGAACTAGAAGTAGTGTCACAAATATAGCTTATTTATATATAGTTTTAATCATTTATCATTTAATACTATACAATATTTTGTGTAAAGCTAATAGCCATTTACTATATTTTAAGAACCAGAACCTGAATTCATATTAGACTCTGAGACTTCATTCAAACTTGAAATCCATTAGAACCTGAATTCTCATTATATGAATACCCATTATCTAAATCCCTATTAGAGTCTAAATTTCAGTTAGAACTTGAATTATCTAAATCTCTATTAGAACTTGCATCCACATTAGAACCTGAATCCCTATTAGAATTAAGTAACTCACTTTTCAGCATAGCCAGGATTATGTCTCTCTTGAGACCTTTAAATGTGTTGTCAATTAATATGCAGAAACAAGTGGGTTTAAAGTAATTTTCTTAAAGGGCAACAATCGAAGTGATGGCTTGTGTACTACCCAAGTTTTTTTCTGCAACTGCTCTGGTGTATACAAGCCCAAACTTAAAGATTCAAATAAGAAAAGCAGGAAAAAAGAATCAAAAAATATAACTGCTCTTGGTCTATCTGTCTCAATTATAACTCAAAAGATGATAAATATTATATCTCACAAGTCGATCTCTGTCATAATCATAAACTTATTCCTCTCCAACTTATGTATATTTTGCCTTCTACTCATGAAATACCAACCTTTATTAAAGAAAAAAATTTTATTTTGAGAAAAGCTAGAATTGCAGTACCACAAATCTAATCACTTCTTATAGTAAAATACAGACCAGCCATGAAGATGTGAGTAATGAAGAACGTATATAATTTGATTGATATTGATCGCATATTATACGGTAAATTTCAAGCCCATGATTTCCTCCTTTTTTTTTTAACAAAAGCATAACAATAACTTCAAATTTTCTTATAAATTCGAATTAGACAGTAATAATTGACTGAAACATATACTCTGGATATATACATCTTAAAAGCAGCAATATATACGCTTTCATGATACAATTGTTTATGATAACACATATAAGAGCAATTATTTCTTAATACTTTTTGGAGTGTTTACAGGTGTCACAAATAATAGTCTCTCTTACTGTGCTGCTGGTGCGTTGCTTCGGGACGAAATGTCCTCAAGTTTTGAATAGCTTTTTGAATCCTTTATTAGTATTTTTGGCACCGCATCCAATACTATTCTAGATTATTATTTTCATTATATTTCTTAGTTCATCGGCTGTCATATGTATTATTTCAGATATATTCCTCATTATTTTGAGGCCCTGAAATCTAGAAACCAACGTTAGTCGTTGCTCAAAGGTCTGCATTACATGGCTCTCACCTTATAGACAATGATCTGGCTATGTCTGATGCTATTCACTCTGTTCTTACCAATAAATATGGTACTAAGCATGGCCTTTATATCTGGTGCATGTTAAAGAATATAAGATCGAATATAACCTCTAAACTTGAAAAGAAATATAATGTATTTTTTATGGATCTTATGAAATACTTGAACCATTATATTGATCAAAACAAGTTTGAGGACCTGTGGAATTGTATAATAGAAAATAATGACTATGTCGAGACAAAATCGTACCTGGAGGTTCTTAGTCGGTAGCGTGAATAGTAGGCCTCGGCATATTTAAAGGATTATTTTTTTACTAACATGTTGTCGATACAAAGAGAGAAATTTATGAACAGCTTGTTAAAAAGTTTTATTGATTGTAAAATGAGGCTTACGAAATTTTTAGAAGCCTTTGAACATGCACTTGATCTCTGTAAAGAAACTGAAATTATTTCTATCTATAAGGAGTTTGTTTATCCTATCCTTCTGACTTTCTCAAACCTTATCAAAAATCAAGCCGCTAGTTGTCTGACGCAGTATGCTTAGAAAAAATTTAAGGCTAAATAGAATACAAAAGATGTATATGTATGTGAGGAAACAACAGATGAAGAAGAAGTGTGTTGTTTCAAATTGTTACGTTATGAAAGGCCTAATGTTATATGTTTGGTCTCTATGATAGTTGTATATTTTCTTGTAGCTACCACAATCTTGAATTTGCTAGGATAGTTTGTCATCATTCACTTGCAGCTGCTGTTCATCTATCTCTTGCTTATCTCGATCCTGTTCACTTTTCAAAACATTGGAGAAAGATCTGCCTGAGTTGGAGCTTGTAAAAGATTATGTTAATTTTTATAATCATTCACAATCACAAGCCCCAGAAATTTTAATATCGTATGAATCATTTGGTAAAAATAACTCTCGAATCTGGTTTATGTATATACACTAACTATCAGAAGAAATTGTAAGTAAGGTTGCAATAGATCTCAACAAATATATAGATTTTATATTGTATCTCGAAAAGTATTTGGAGGCACTATATTTCACTGATAATGATCTTGCTTCACTTATGAGAATACTCTGAGCTTCTAATAATCAACAACTCTATAAAAAGCAAGACTGTTAAATGATCTAAAAAAGAAAGGATTAGAAGCGAAAAAAAAAATATACCTGCTGTGAAAAAAAACTGAGGCTAGCCAAAAAAGAATCTTGAAGTAGTCCTGACCCAGAACCAAAGTGATGATATTACCTTAAATCAGCCACAAAAGTGAGGCCGACCAAAAAAATATTTTGAATTGGTTCTGACCTGGAACTAAAGTAAAAATACTAACTTAAGCCAATCACAAAAACATGTCTATAGTTAAAGTAAA